TAAAAATAATTTCAGTATACTTCAAAAAAGTAAATAATACAAAATCAATCTACTTCGTTCGTATTTTTTTAAGTACTCCCTCCGTGTTTTTTAAGTGATACATTTTTCATTTCTGGCCGTGTTTTTTTAAGTGATACATTTCCTTTTTTGGCAAAACAATACATTAAAATATTATACGGAAATTTCACCAAATGCCACTAACAAATTTAAAAATTCACCAAATGCCATCGGACTTTTCAAAATTCACCAAATGCCACTCAATTTTTAAATAATTCACCGAGTGCCATTAATGACTAACGGAACCTTAATCATGACACATGGCAATCGATTATTGGTTTAAAAAATATAAATTAAATTTTTTTTTTTAAAAAAAACGGCTATTTCACCAAATGCCACTGTGTAATTTTAAAATTCACCAAATGCCATCGGACTTTTCAGAATTCACCAAATGCTACCCAGTTTTTTTAATAATTCATCGAGTGCCATTAATGACCAACGGCCGTTAACTTCGTCAGTCATTAGGGGTTAATCATGACACATGTCATGATATAATTGGTCAATTTATCATAATTCATAAAAATTTAAAAAAAAACAAAAAATTTAAAAAAATAAATAAAAAAAAACCCCAAAATTTTCCTAGCCACCCCCACCACCGCCAAACCCTAGCCCCACCCTTATCTCGCCAGAAAACGGCCGGCCACCACCTTAACCACCAAAAATCGGTCGACCGACACTTTAGCGCCCCACCTGACCCACCGCCGACCCCCAAAACCGCCCACACAAGGTGGTGGTTAAATCCCAATCCCCTTCCCCTGCGCGCAACGCTACCCACCGTCAAATCCCAATCGCCGGTGACCCTAAACCGACCCTAATCCCTACCCTGTCTCGACCCTTTCTCCACCTCGACCCTAAACCGACCCCCAACCCCTACCCTGTCCCGACTCTTTCTCCACCTCGACCATCACCTAAAATCGCATCCCCTTTTGCTGAAACCCCTAACACCCAAAATTAGCCATTTACATGGGTTTTAATCCAATTTCAACAAAAAAAAACAAACTTTACACAAATTAATTCATGGGAGAGGGGTGGTCGAATTTTGCAAGGGACGGGGAGGGATGGTCGGATTTTATAGGGGTGGGGATTAGGGTGGTCGATTAGGGGATTAGGGTGGTCGGTTTTTCATGGGAGAGGGGGTTGGGGTGGTCGGTTTTCATGGGAGAGGGGGTTAAGGTGGTGGTCGGCCGTTTTTCGGCGAGATAAGGGTGGGGCTAGGGTTTGGCGGTGGTGGGGGTGGCTGGGAAAATTTTGGGGGTTTTTTTTTTATAAATTTTTTTTTAATTTTTATGAATTAAGATAAATTGACCAATTATATCATGACATGTGTCATGATTAACTCCTAATGATTAACGGAGTTAACGGCCGTTGGTCATTAATGGCACTCGGTGAATTTTTAAAAAACTGGGTGGCATTTGGTGAATTCTGAAAAGTCCGATGGCATTTGGTGAATTTTTAAATTACTCAGTGGCATTTGGTGAAATCACCGAATATTATATCTCTCTCCTCTCATGGCCCCCACCCAAACCCACTACTACTTTTTTATTATATCTTTCCTCTCACATTCATTACTTTTCAATAAACTATTAACCCCACTATCTTTCTTTAACAATTTTTTAATACTCCACTACCCCACTTACCTCTTAATTTATTTAAGTCAATTAAATTGCCTAAAATTATGTGCCGGTCAATATGTATCACTTACAAAAATACGGAGGGAGTATTACAGTTTAGCCGGCACATAGTTTTAGGCAATTTAATTGACTTAAATAAAATAAGAGGTAAGTGGGGTAGTTGAAGTATTAAAAAATTGTATAAGAAAGATAGTGGGGTTATGTAATCCCCCGTATTTTTAAATATTTTATAAATGAAAATTTATTTTATTTATAATATTTATTTGTTATTTTTCATAATTTAATTTCAAAAGTTTCAAATTATTAATCTAGGTCGAAAATTATTTGAACAAATTATATTATCCACCTTTATTCTACAATTTATGTCCAATCACACAAGCCTAACCCATTTGTTTACTTAATTGACCCATTATTTTTATGAGGCCCAATCTTTCTTTTTACCCTACAATAATTCTCTCTTATAAATACCCCATGAATTTCCAAAAATTTCCCACACAAAAAGGTTAGTCTTATTTTCATCCTCTTTTGTTTATTATTTTGCTTAATGTTAATTTAATTGTTTTGGGTTTTGATTTTAGTATAAAGATTATATTTTTAGTATCAATTATATTTTAATGGTATAAAGATTATAAATTTCAGATTTATTTATGTTATAAATTTCATATTTTATGAATTATAAACCTAGGGTTTCAATTTATTGAAAATCATGATTTTAGGGTTTTTATGAACAATTGATTTAGGGCTTTTATTGTAATGATGTTTTGAAATTTTTGGTGATAATAACTACTGATTAGTTTAACTTAATTCCATATTATTTTGAACACGTAGATTCGTGTTTTAATTTTTAGATTTTCGTTCGTTAATATTAATCCCGATCAGATTCTGATCTCATCCGATTTTGATGAAAAAGTAGTGTTTTCATGTGGAAACAACGTTTTAAGAAAGACTCTACCTTTGGTGGTGAGCACTACCCTCTCGTGGCCAAATTCAGCTTCTAAATATGATTTTCGGGCAGTTTTTTATTTTAACGAAGTTTTTTTATAATTAAAATATTCAATGTGTGGTTCCTATAGGCGTTGGTACCTTGCATCGTACATCCGTTTCGCGAAAAGAACATATTACACACATGTAAAGAACATACTGTTGTAATGAAAAGAACATACTATTAAAAAGTAATGAACACATATCTAAAATAAAAAGAACATATTTATATTAAAAAAGAGTGAAAAAAACATATGTTCATGTTCTTTAATTGTCAGTGTAATGTACTTTTATTTGTGATATAATGTTAATTACTTATTGTGAAATGTTCTTTGATTTTTTTTAAAAAAAAAATTATGGTGAATATGCATAAATCATGTTCATTACATAATATTTTCATGTTCTTTATAAATATTAGGGATGTTCTTTAGATGTATAAAAAAAATAAAATTGGATGTTCTTTACAAACCAGTTATATGTTCTTTACAAAACAACTTTATGTTCTTTAAAAAAACTGCTACATGTTCTTTTCGCGTTTTTGGCCTGTACCTTGCTATGTACAGGCGAATGTACCTTAAAATTTTCAAAAATATTATCCTTGAGTTTGATTGATAAAATTAATTATGTTTAAAGTTAATTAAGCATAATTAAGTATATGTTTTTATTGAAGTTTTAAGTGCTAGAAATAGTTTCTAAGTACTACTTTTGATGTTTTATTAAAAAGGGAGATTATTAGGGGTTTTTAAATAATTTAAAGATTTTTATTAAACTTTAAACTTGCTGTAATTTCATGTATAAGAGTGTATTTTAAGGTTTTTATGAAAAAATTTAAAGAACTATATATAAGCCTTTAATTTAACTAAAGGGAGGGTTTTAAAGTGTTGTTTGATTTGGATTTTGAAGGTTTTAAAGTAAGTTAGTATTGCTGTAAATTTGATTGATTGGGTATTGATTGAGATGTTATTATTTGTCTTAGGAGAGGAGTTTATTGAAGGTGATTTCTAGTTAGTAAAGTGGCATACCAATTCGTTTGCTCAAGGTACGTACGAGTTAGGAAACCTTTCTTTTAGGTGCATGTTTAAGGATGGATCGAGAACTTAGTATCATGTATAGGATTGACTGGGTTAAATTGTTTGGTTATACATTGTGAATTTCAAATGATGTGCACTATTTTATAATGCAAGTAATATTTGTGCTCTAATTATGCAAGGTGCGTTTCGAGGCAAAAGTATGTGATTGGTAAAAAGATTAATTTATTACTCATTCATGATTATGCAAACAGGATGAGTAAATGAAGGATTTAAGTCTTATAAGACGAGGTTAAGGTTTTGGGGTTCCTTATGCACTCAAGGTGTTTATACATCGAGGTAGTAAAGGATTAAATAACAAGTGTTGTTTGTCACTAATAAATCAAGAATTGAAATTGGAAACTTGTCTTGTTTGATTAAATTGTGTTTAGAATGTTTGTATTTTTATGTATATGAGTCATCCTCAATTCTGGAATAATGACAATCAGGGGTTGGGGTACATGGGGTATTAGCCGTGTACTTTTCTCGATGCCGTCTGATCTACGAGTCTCTTATTTCAAATATTTTTCAAAACTAGGAATTAGGTGAGATCTCATACTAACTACGGTCACGGAGTCGCGCCCGTGGTTGTTGGATGTTTATTGATGTTTCCGAAAGGAGGCATGGGGTTTTTCTTTTATTGATGTTCCAAATGGAGCATGGGTTGGACAACCTTGTCTATTGCGTAATCCAATGAATAAAAATAATGATTTACCTATTATTAATTAATGGAGTCTTAGTAATATAAATAGTTGAGTCGTGTGTTGAGTCTATAATTTAATGATGCATGATGATTGATTATTAGTAGCATGTTATGGATTTCTTAATTTATTTTGCAGCTTGTATGTACTCAGCTTTGCTGATTGCGTGCTTTGTGTGTCTTTCTTTGGTCATGGCCTTCGCCTTTCAAAGACTCTGTGACGATCCAATTTTTACACTTGTAATATTGGGGAGCATATTAACCACAAGTTCTTACATACGCAGCATTCACATCAGGGTTGTGGGATTTTGAGTGGAGAGTTAGTTATTGTTTGCAGTTTGTTTTCTTTTGCAAGCACTAGTGGAAAAATTCCTATTTGTAACACCCTATTTGTAACGGGCATAAGTATGCCAGTTACAATAAACCTACCCGTAACGGGAAAAATATTAAGCCGTTACATTAAAACAGCGCGGAGATTTAGAGGATATGTATTCGTATTGGGCAAAAAGGTGTCTGTTACAAATAATATGTTATTCGTAACGGGCAGCGTTTTGCCCATTACGATAATTATATTATTCCTAATAGGCAAAACTTGCCCGATACAATACAATATGCGAAATTACGGAGTAGATGTTAAAAAACCCTAGCCGTCTAACTTCACTTTTCTTATTTTCCTCTCCTCCTCTCTCTCTCCTCAATTGACTCTTTCTCTCTCTTCTCATACGATTTAGCTTTCTCTCTCTTCTCATTCTTACAATGGAAAGTTGGAAACTGAGCTGTTTTGGGTCAAAACATGCTATAATGTCGTCTAGGAAGGGAATGTTGCCCCTCAAACTTCCAAGGTATTCTATATTTTTGGTGTTTTGATATTAAGTTTTTTAATTTTTGGTGTTTTTTTCGCTAGATCTGGAGCAAAATATTGTTTTTTTTTTCTTTCTTAATTCCACCAAATCGATTTCTTAATTAAGGTTCCCTCATTTTTTGTTGAATTGCTTTTTCGTAAGCCCCAATTGGCATATTTTCATCGGGGGAAAAACCTTAACTTTTTTTATTAGAATTTTTTTTTTTATTTTGAATTTGATTTTTCCAATTGTTTTTATTTTTTTTATGAATCCTAAACCCTAATTTCAGTATAGTTAAATTGATTTTAAAGTTGAATAGAGATGAAGCTATCAAAGAGGATGAAGAGAAAAGTGTAGCCTTCAAAGCAGCAAAGTACGTAGCAGTATTTCTGGAAATACGAAAAGAATTAGTGTTGAGGGTGAGGAAGAAAAAATTACTAGATCTGGATTTTGTTCTATGAATTATATTTGTGATTGTTGAATTTTTAAGATCATAGATCATAAAATAATGGTACAATTTGATCTTTATAAGTGTTGGCCTTATTGATTTCAGCTTGTTTGTGACAGGTATTTCTCGTGATTCTTTGTTCAAAATGTGTGCCGCTAGTGCCAAGAACAACTGAAGAAGGTTCGGAGGTAGAAGCATAAGTAAGTTTAATTTTTCTACTTTTTCTCGATATTTTTTTTTGTCAATTTATATTTTTGGGTCTTATATGAACTTGCAAATATTCAAGTTTCTGGGCTTAATTATATTTTTGTGCTACAATTGAATCTTTTAGATAGTTTGGATTGGTTGATTGAATATGTTATTGTGAGATTTATGTTGATGAAATGAGAATTAAGTAGTATGCTGGATTACTTTGAGTTAGGTAGTAGTTAAAACTTGTTTTTATTGAAATTAAAGCTGATGGGTGAGATATATTGTCATTTTGGGGTATGTATTTGTCGTGCTGAAGCACTTGTATTATTGAAATACAATCAAATCTGACTTTGCGATTTGATGAATTTTATAGGTGCGTGCTGATGGTGGTGTGATGTTGGGTTGCAGGTTTTTATTGGTTTATTTTATGCTTGATTTTTGCCTTTTATCTCCAGCATTCTTGTTCTTATTGGATCAATAATTTGATTTTCTTCAATGCTGTTCAGGTTATAAGCACATGGGGTGTTCAAAACAAAATTGACTTCCTTTCACTATCATATACTCGTCATGCAGAACATGTTCGCCAAGTATTAGGTGGTGCAATATGGTTATCTTTTGAGTAATCTCCTCCTATGCATTCCTATATTTAATTGTATCTTTTTGTTTTTGTTTAGGCACGTGAGCTGCTGCAAGTTTAGGTGATCTTAGATATTTGCAAAGATTGAAAACGTTGAGGTATGAGCCATCACGCTTCATTCCACAATAACGAGCTTCTAAAATCCTCTTTATCCATTCCCCAACATTATTCATTCCCCAACTATTGATAGGATTTGTTTCGAGGTAAACTGAATATCTGGGGCTTTGTCACCATGCAGAATCCTTTTCAATATTGTCTTCATGCCTATTTATTCCCTTTTTGTTTATTTAATTATTTATTTATGAATCTTACTTTACAATGTAGGCTGAAAAGGTATTCAATCAAGATCAGTACTTCAAGAAAGCTGTCAAGTATGTGGGAGAGCCAATGTATTACGCTTGTAGGTGCATGTTGCCTTGAAGGTAATGGTATCTGTGATCATCTGTTTCACTTGTATTACGCTTATCATTGCTTCGTTTTTTATCTTTTGTTTTGATTTGATGAATTTGTTCAGTTTGATTTGAAATTGGATCTGGTTTATGATTTCTTTATATATGTTTTTGGATTGATTTCTATTTTGTTCTTCAATTTTTTATGTTTTCGGTTTAGATCGACGCTAGAATCCTGGTTCTGTTGTGTTTAGTTGCAAAATATTTGCTATTTTTTTGTTATTAAATCGTCATAAATGTTAGGTTATTAGATGTTTGTAGTTGTACTTTGTTGTTGTGATTTGCTGCTGTTTTAATGGAACTTTTTTTATAGTACTGTTTTTTTGCGATTTTTTAAGCTTATTTTGCCTCAAATTGCTTACATCTATGCATCTGAATATCTACGAATTTTACGTTAGATTTTGGTTGATCTTATGCTTTAGATTCATTTTCAATGATTACAATAAGCCTATTAAATGTTTTTTTAAAATTTTGTTTGCGAAGCTTCTTGCAGTTTGTTGATTTTGTTTTGTTTGCATTAGAGATTCGTATTTCAGATGCTAAAAACAGAATTCTGGTGTTCTATTATGGAATCTTGAATTATGTAAGGTTTGAAGTTGTTCTGTGTTGATTTGGGATGATTTGAGGCCTCATTATTGCCACTTACACACATGTCCAGTGTTATTTGAATTTTCCTTATTATGCTAGCAGGTTAACCACCGAGTCTTTTTAGTAACTTAGTGGCCCTTTCTTTAGGTTTTTGTTTTTGTAGGAGCAACAGGTGCCTATTTGTTATTCATGTTATTAGTAACTCAGTGTAACCCATTATGTATGGTTGTGAATATATGAATGAGTGTGGAGGAAAAAAGAAGCATTTTGCTATTTTTTGGCTTTTTATATTTTGAAATTGAAAAGTACAGGCTTAATCTTGTGCCATCTTATAAAAATAGATGGGCCATGACGTTGAGACGGGGAGGTGGGGATTAGTAGCTAAGTGAACCAAGGGTATTTTTTTCTCATTATAGTGATTAGTGCTCATTTAATCATCAAATGAGTAAACCGGGTGTATATATATATAAGAGTTTAAAGGGACTGATTATTGATAATGCGGCTTGAATCACTGTTTGATTCTCATCCATGTCATGAAGTCTACATGCATGCTTTAAATGGTCATTTCAAGCAATTTTAATTGATAGAATGATCTTTCCCATCACATTGTTTGGATTAGTTGGATATTGATCCTATTTAGAAGAAGATTGTTGTTTTTTATTTTTCACTATTATCTTAGTACAGTCCAATAGGAGAACAACTTTCATCTTGCAAGGAGGTATCATTATATCTACAATCTTATTTTGGGATAAATGATGTTAAACTTGTGAGGGACATTAGGGTTGAATCTCAGCATGATCTCTAAGGAATGGCAACTCCATGATGGACCTTTCAAATTCACCTCTACGGCTCTACATGTTTACCTATTGAACATGAGATGGATTCTTTACTTTTGGGCATTGAGAATCTACCAGATGTTCAGAGTATTATTCATATAGTAGCTTTTGACTCATGTTAGGGAGTTGTTGTAAATTCAATTTGGACATTTGTTAAAGTTTGTATCTTTGATTTTATAATTAATTAAATTTTACATTTATTATTATTAAATATTGATAATAGTAATTAAAATTTGGCATCATAGAATATTATCAGGTTAGTAGTGTAGCAGGTATCACCTGCTGTGATTTGGGTATTTTATACCCGGCTAGGTGGCCCAATCAGAAAGCGCCACGTGTCCTCCACATAGGTGCCATTTGGACCTATGGAATGATGATGCGTGGAGGCTGGACTCTTCCACGTCCTACGTGGACTGAAGGTCCAGCAGGGACCATTCAGGTGGCGACACATGCCACTCAAAAGGTGCTTCAGAATCCTTTTGGGCACAGTGACACGTGTCACTCAGGCATTGGCCCTGGGATGGCGGCCTTCTAAGGCCCAAATCCCGAGGCGCCGCAAAGCGGCGTGACCTAATTCCTAGGTCACCAGATCCTAGGAGGGGCACGCTTTTCAAAAGGACCCTATAAATAGGGACATTCTGTCATTTATGCAGGGAGAGAATTTTACACGCAATACGAGACAATACGTCACTTATCACCTGAGCTTGGAATCCGAGCAGATAACTTTATTTCCGCACGTTCTATTACCGAACGTTTACTAAATTAATCTTCGGAGGCGGTCCAACGACCATCCGGCGGTCCGTTTGCATTGCAGGTACATGCATCCTCAGTCGAATCTAGTTTCAGTGTTGTAACTCTCCCAAGGGACAAAAACCCCCGAAACATGCTGCATTTTTTTTTAAATTTGGGTTCAATAGTATTTGTAACGGACAGTTTGACTGCCCGTTACAAATAACCCCGTTATTTGTAACGGGCAGTCAAATTGTCCGTTACAAATAACGGGTTATTCGTAACAGGCAGTCAACTGTCCGTTACAAATAACGGGTTATTCGTAACGGGCAGTTTGACTACCCGTTACGAATAACCCGTTATTAGTAACGGGCGCTGCCCGTTACGTATAAGATAGCCTATCCATAACGGCAACATATGTAACGCCCACTGTAGGGAATAATTTTAAGCCTTTAAAATCCCACTAGCTTGAACCCCACTGTGATCATACACTAAAGTACGGTGGCGTCCAAAAGGGAAGAAGATAGAGCAAAAGAGTCGCCAACAAGTTTTTAAGGAACTTGTAAACCGTTCACGAGGTGAAGGTTACACCCCTTAACGATCCAAGAGATCGTCAACTCCATAAGGTCATGAACCAAATAAGGTTCGGGGATGATGGTACAATCCAACCTAAAAGAGATTGAACCTGCCCTAATAATAGGCCTCTACTTTATTCTGATCGTATTCATGTGCGCTTTCTGATTAACATGCAATCAATAGGATTAACCCTAAACCTGTTTCATCTATGTTGGTTGAATTTAATGCACAAATAAATCTATTATTGGCGATCACTTGAATTATAATCAAATTAACCCTAACAAGATTATTAATTATCTTATTAAGCGTGATTGCAAGTACCATATTCCCTTTAACATACAATAAAGGTGATCAAGCAATAACAATATAAAATAATGAATATCAAGCAACATAATAAATAATCAACATCATTAATAATAATAATATCAATCATAATCATAATCATGTTAAAGCATAGCAAGATCCTAGGCATGATACTAACAAGATTAATAACAAACCCTAGCATGTCACTAAACAATAAAAATCAAATCTTTAGCCCTAACATGAATAAATCTTAGGAAGAGAATAGGAAGCATCGTAACAATCATATTTAATATTAAAATTACCCTAGACATGATACTAGGAATATCATAATAACAATATAAACATGATATCTACATCATAAATCAATTAAAGTACTTACTTGGATGCCTCGTAGCTCTTTCTTTCACGTCTAGGGCGAAGGCAACTTTGAATATGGCTAGGTGTTTCTAGATCTTGCGAATGCGGAATTTTGTGTGTGAAAAGCAAAGTTTAGAAAATAATAAAAGAAAAGAATTCTAATGAAAGAGATGAATAATGAACAATGAATGAAAAGAATTAATGAATGACTTGTGTATGAGGAGAATGAATGAAGAAGAGAATTGATGATTCTTTGTGAATGAAAACGGAATTTTCAATACGATATTTATAGAGAAAATCATCCAAAAAAAGATAATTTAACAAAATAGAGTCTACAGATCGCAAAAACACCTTGGCGCCAGCCCTGGCTAATTGGCGCCAGCACCAGTGGCTAGCGCCAGGTGCCAATGGCTAGCGCCTGTCGCCAATCCCGGTTCCAAGCGCCAAGACCTGGGGTTAGACGCCAAATCGGCTTTCAACGCGTTTTTGAAAATCTGATAAATTTCCCGTACTGGAAGATAAAATAATATAATTTCCATCGAAAATGCTATTTTATCTTGATTAAAAACTCTAAAGAGTCCTAATTGAATCAGGAATAATAAAGACCTTCTAGAATGTTCTAGAAGACTAAAACCATTCCTAATTACATTAGGAATGATAAATTACATTAGGCCCTCCCCTAGATCATTAGGCCGTACTTAAAGCTCAAACCGGGCCCAGTTTAGTAAATTGGCCATAACTTCCTCAATATTTATCGGTGTTGGGCTTATAATATATCGTTGGAAAGGTCTTTGAAAACCCCATCCAACTACACTACTATTGGACCCATATCATGGACCAACCAAACTGGATCGGCTGTTTTCTTAAAATAAAGTTTTTAAAAACAGGGAGAAGAGAAAAAGAAATAAAACTTTCCGCAACACTAGACCTTTCCACACTTTTGTTTCATTCGATTATGATTCGACGTGAAAGACACTCATCACCGGGTTTGGTTTTGGGGAGACACAAATGGGTGTCTACAGAAGCCCCCACTTTGATTGAGTTTGGAGAAACGCAAGTTTCGAAAACAAAAGTCAAAGTATCGATAGGGACGGAGAATGATTTAGAACGTTCTGCAATCCTAAATCACTCTTGTAACGCCGATACCTGCAAAACTAGCGTTAGTTAAACAGATAAAAGAGTTTAGAAACACGTATCTTGCACCGTCGAGCACACGTCTCTGAAAGTAACCGAATGCCATCCCGCTTGAAAACCGCTAGTTTGTAACTGCTTCCAAATTAGAAGATTGCTTCGCCTGAAACGATCCTCCTCCGCAATGATAATATTCCACATCCAAGGGAACACTATCGAAGATTATTTCTCTCGAAACAATCCTCAGATGTTTGTGACAACTCTCCATAATCCAGGGAACGCCACCTTGTTGTTTCGATGTTCACTCGTCTCTGAACAAAGAGCTTCTTTTTGATATGATCTTCTGAATGATGTGTCCACGCGTCTCTGAACGAAGAGCTTGATAATAGGATGCCCACGCGTCTCTAAACAAAAGAGCTTGAAAATAGGGAATGTCCACGCGTCTCTGAACAAAAGAGCTTTTGAATGATATGCCCACGCGTCTCTGGAGCAAAAGAGCTTGATGGAAATGTTCACGCGTCTCTGAAAAATAGAGCTTCGGTGATATGCCCACGCGTCTCTGAGCAAAAGAGCTTCAATGACAATGTTCACGCGTCTCTGAACAATAGAGCTTCGATGAAAATGTTAATGCGTCTCTGAACAATAGAGCTTCGATGCTTGAATGTTTGTTGCGATAATGTTCTGAAGAAAAATTTCCGAAGACCAATGTTTGTTTATCTCTAAAGCTCGCCTGAACTTTATTCCGCTAAAACCAGTATGTCGGTGTCTCCGTGATTAGGCGCTTTAAGCTAAATGAGACGATCTTTCATCAGGTCGATCACTTATTGCAATTGTAATCAAACTGACTACTTAATCATGTCAAATTGCTTATAGGGGCTAACTGGCTTATCAAGGAACCCGAAATTGCTGTATGAAGTCAAAATCACCTTTCTGAGAGGCTTCGAGCTCTGTCGCTGCTGAAATATTTCCGGCGCCAGGCGCTGGAGTAGGGTCTTCCCTGTTCTGCTGCACCTGTATTTATTTTTGACTATAGAACTTTGCCAATTTCTTTAATTATCTTAGGGTTGACCTAAGGTTTAATGTTATCTTAGGGTTAACCTAAGGTTTAATGTTGCTTGACTCATCGACTTGACACGACTCAAGGTATAAACTTGACTCGCTGATTGACTGACTCGAGGTTGACTCGACTCAAAGTGAAATGACACATGTGACTCAATGTGTACATGACTCGTGTGTGCATTGAAATGTGATCGTGCGACTCGAAAAATGCAAAAAGGAAAAATTTTCCGTCAATTTTGTGGAGGGTACCGACTTTCTCCCGAAAAAGAAAGACGCGAAAAAGAAAAACAAAAGTTTGAAGATGCATGTTGAATGAGCTTAGTCAAATGTTGTTTGATACTATCTCTCAAGGTGTAAGGATTAATTCATCCTAGGCTATCTCAAATGTTGACTCCATGATGAAAGTATTTGGGTAACTTAGGCATGGAGGCTAAGCACTTCGTACTTTGTGATGCAATGATGATTATGATTGATGAGTGATTTTGAAGAAGCATGCTTCAGCGTTAAGATTTCATGACAAAGGGTTCCTAAGGGAAATATATTTGGTCATGTATGTGAGCAGTGTGTGATAGTGACACTAAATTTAGGCCGCAAGAGCAAAGTGTGTGAAAAAATATATTATTGGAAGAGCCAAATAATGGTGACTCTTAGGCTAGGTAAGCTAATGATGTAAGGACCAAGCCCCTAGATAAGCCCCCAAGGTGTGCAACTTTGCTTTTGAATATTTGTATTTTTATACTTGAGTTTCTACTCTTTTTTTAGCCCTTTTTGCTTTAGCATTTATTTAATTTTTATAAGTGTGGGTGTAGACACCCATTTGTGTCTCCCCAAAACCAAACCCAGTGATGAGTGCCTTTCACGTCGAATCATAATCGAATGAAACGAAAGTGTGGAAAGGTCTAGTGTTGCGGAAAGTTTTATTTCTTTTCTTTTCTCTCTGTTTTTGAAAACTTTATTTTAAGAAAACAGCCAATCCATTTTGGTTGGTCCATGATATGGGTCCAATAGTGGTATAGTTGGATGGGGCTTGCAAAGACCTTTCCAACGATACATTAT